AGAGAGAGAGAGAGAGAGAGAGAGAGAGAGAGAGAGAGAGAGAGAGAGAGAGGCAGATAGGCAAACAGACACACAGAAGTTTAATTCACAGACTCAAAGAGTCCTCCTAAACAAGCCTCACCATTGAACAGCTTGTCTCAAACGGCTGCGTTGACATTTTCATTTCGATGTCAAAGCTCAGATCAAAAACCTTACAACATCCTGTGGACAGTTTGAAAGGTCGCGGTTGATTTTCTTTTTTTTAACACTTAGATCTAGATTTTTTTCCGTCTCCTTTGTAAACTTGTTTTTCGGGTGTTTTCTTTGTATTCAGGAAACGGGTTAGCGTTGAACAGAATCCCAACAGTTCTTGCCAATTGCGGAGACAAACATTTTACAAAATGCTGAAGATGAGAGGTCTGTCTGTCCGTCTGTCTGTGTAAGATGTGGAATGCAAGCCAAAGGAAAAATGTTTTTAAAAAGAAGAAGAAGGAGAAAGGAAGAAAACTGAAAAGAAGTAATAAGACGAAAGGAAGAAAAATTTGGAACGAAAGAAAGAATGAAAGGAGAAATTAAAAAAGAAAGAAAAGTGCAAAAAAGAGAGGACATAAAGAAACAAAAGAAAGTGAAAAGAAAGGAAGGAAAGGAGAGGAGGGAGAAGGCGAGGGAAAAGAAGGATTGAAGGAAAGAGTCACATGGCAACTGCTTGACAGGGTTGAGAAATAACTTTTTTTTAAATGTAAGTATTTTAACTCCCGAATCGACACAATTTAGATCAAACAGGAGACAAGCTTCCCATCCTGCCTGTCAGGGCCGACCCGGGCTGGCTGAGAGGAATATTACATTCCTTCAGAAAAACCGAGATAATAGATACATTTTTTCTCCCCAACTCGAGAATCGAACACGGGTCGCCTGCCTTTACCACGAAGCATATTCTTGCCTCTACTCCACTGAAGCCGATCTTTCAAATTGTGTATGTGTGTAAGGGGGGTGGGGAGAAAAAAAAGGGGGGGGGGAATCCCTTGAGAGCAATGGGTGGAGGGGGAAGGTCCCTTGAGGACAATGGCACGATAATTGTAACGCTTCCTGCAGTCGATCCTGAAAGCTCGGATGGACGATGGCTGCATGTAACACAAGCGTAACACACAATCGTGGTCAGCTTAGCATTCCCAGGAGAGCTGTAAACTTCCGTGGCGTCCGTCGCTCGGTAGTCTAGTGGTTAAATGGTTAGGCAACCGGACTCGTAATCATGAGG